GAATGAGCAGCAGCTTTCAGTCCGTCACCGTGAAGCAAACATGAAATATCAGACATACAGTAGCAGTTCTTCACAGGAGTTTTTATTCGAGTGCACTGCTTTTCCATAGTTTTTTCTGTGTAAACATGGACACGTTTGACTGATGCATCTCTTGCATGAAACGGCTTTCTAAAAACACTGCGTTCAAGTTAAAAAGTTCACTCCCATCTTCTTGCATGAATGGCTCCTAGCGCTGTGTTCTGTGCAGGTGAAGAGCGTGAAGCCGTGTCTGAAGCAGCTGCAGCAGTGCATCCAGACCATCTCCACGCTCCACGATGATGAGATCCTGCCCAGTAACTCGGCCGATCTCTTCCACTGGCTGCCCAAAGAGCACATGTGTGTCCTCGTCTACCTGGTGAGTAGGGCTGCAACAAACAATTATTTTGCTAATCGATTAATCTAACGATTATTAGACCGATTAATCGACGAATCATCAATTATTTCATTGATTAATCAGTAGACTTTGATTATTCAGCTTTTGCAATTAGTTAAAATATTGAGTTATACATATTCTAACAAATAAACAATCACTTCAGCTTCTGAAAATCATATTATGTAATTACAATTATCATAATCTCCTTTTGTAAGTCATATGGATAAGAAACTAAATAAAGGTAAGTGATGATGAGACGCTTTATTTTTGGATTAACTATTTTATTCACAACATAACCTCTCTTAAAATACTTTATAACAGTCCTGAGCTAGATCAAGCTTCGATCTCTGCAAACCAAACTTTAACACCAGTTTAATGAATAATATTTTCCCACTAATAAAAAGATGTTATCATTAGCGAGCTCCACACTGCAGAGCTGCTTTATAACAGAAAATCAGGTTGTAATTCTAACTGAAAGCGACACTGACTCTGGTTGTTCATGTTTAATACTGTAAAGCTGCTTGATTTAAGGCTCTCTATAGTGCTATATAAATAAACGTGAGGTGACTGGACTTCACTGGAGCGCTGAACTGCAGAGCTCGTGCAAACATCCACATCACTGTAATCTGATGCTTTCTTAACTGCTGCTTTCTCACCGCTGTCAGTTTTTGTTGTGTTTATTTTGTTATTTAGAGGAAAGTGCGCAGCATATATTTACATATTCATCCAAACGCCGCTCAGCAGCTTCAGGTTCGGCTGCGTTTGATCTGAAGCGCTGCATCTTCTTCTCTTGAACTGCATCAGAAGAGCTGAATTACAGTCTTGTGCTACAGCGCCACACTGGTCAAACCGCGTTACTGCAGGCTCTTACATTAGCTCATATGAGATCAAACCACTACTTGACAACAAAAATATTTGTAGACAATATTTTATTGGCGAAGTTGTCGATAATGTCGACTAACCGTTTCAGCCCTACTGGAGAGCCACGTCATGTCCGACATCACGCATTTATGCACATTTACTACATTTTTTTTTTTTCATGTTCCTATTACTTTAATGTGAAGAAATTATTCCGTCTGAACACAGTGTTTCCCGAAAACAGTGTACATAAAAAAATTAGCTCAATAAATGCTATTAGGCATTTATTTATTAAATCATTGGTTGTTTTGTTTTCTTTATGCAAAATATAAATTGATCATCAACAATTTTTTTTCTTTAAATTTGTGGTGAAATATGAGCACTTGTATGCTTTTTATTTATGATTTGAAGTCACCGTTTCTTGATTATTATATAATTTTGTTACTTTCTTTGATTATTTGAATAGGTAAATATTTATTAACATTTCATATTTATTAATTCGATGGAAAGCAAATGAAATTTCTTTTCTCAGGTTTACAAATTAGATCATTAAATTGTGCAAAATTATGCTTGTTGATTGATTATTTGTTTAAGTTGTGTTTTCTGTTGTTGTGAGAAGCACCTGTGTGTTTTTACTTGTGCTGATTTGATTGGAGTGAGAGTTGAGTTGTTTATGTGTGTGTGTGTGTGTGTTTCAGGTGACGGTCATGCACTCGATGCAGGCTGGGTATCTGGAGAAAGCCCAGAAATACACTGATAAAGCCCTCATGCAGCTGGAGAAGCTGAAGAGTGAGTCGCGTCACATCACAGAGACTCGTGTGTGTGTGTGTGTGATAACTGATGTTCTGATGTGTGTGTGTGTTTGTCAGTGCTGGACTGCAGTCCCATCCTGTCCTCGTTTCAAGTCATTCTGCTGGAGCACATCATCATGTGTCGTCTGGTGACGGGACACAAGGCCACAGCGCTGCAGGAGGTGTGTGTGTGTTTGATGGAGTGGTGTGATGCTTCTGCTGCAGTGTGTAACGTGTGTGTGTGTGTGTGTGTGTCAGATCTCTCAGGTGTGTCAGCTCTGTCAGCAGTCTCCACGGCTCTTCTCCAATCACGCGGCTCAGCTCCACACGCTGCTGGTGAGACCTAACTCCACAACATCACAATCCTCTCTGCTGGAACACACAAACAAATACCAGCTAAGAGTGAACTCTTTAAAAAAAATGTAAATATAAATTTTCTGATAAAAATGTGATTACAATTTAAAAAGCATTTAAAAGCAAAATCTGGTTTGCTGTGCTTGTTTTTAGAGCTGCACAATTTGGGCAATGTGTTTTGATGAAATTAATATAGCTATTAAAATGAAAATTATTATTATTAATAATAGTTTTATATTATTACAAAAAATATAAACATTTATAAAAACAAGAAATATTACTATAATGATTTCATTGTAAAATAAAAAAAATTATTTCACTTTACAGCTGTAAAATTGCAATGCTAATATTTATTACTGCCTTAATTTCTTCATTTTCAAACTTTTATTTGGAGCCCTTAAAGATTCTCTGTAGTTGATGTGTGCTTCATTACAAGCTTGTGAAGATGTTTGGCTCGTGTTGTATTTTTCAATTAAAGCGACTCGACCTCACAGCAGACCCAGGTGGAGTTCACGTGGATCATTTACTGTGAATCGAGACGCTGAAAACACCAGATCATGAGCTGCTCGCGTGTAAATGAACACAGTGACACGCTTCACTCTGAAACAGCGCAGATATTTAATGAAATCACAGGATAATCACACTAAACTATATCAGGATTCCAGCAATCCAGTCTCTTCAGTGGCTCAGTGAAGCGCTCGTATCGTCATGTGATGTGTTTGTGTTTCAGGGTTTGTACTGTATCTCTGTTAACTGTATGGATAACGCTGAGGCCCAGTTCACTACAGCGCTGCGGGTGAGACATGCAAACACACACCGTTCTTACAGACGTGACCGAGCCGAGCTCATTCATTCATGTGTGTACCGAGCCGAGCTCCTTCATTTGTGTGTGTGTGTGTGTGTGTGTGTGCAGCTCACCTCCCATCAGGAGCTGTGGGCGTTCATCGTCACTAACCTGGCGAGTGTGTACATCAGGGAGGGAAACAGACATCAGGAGGTCAGTCGTCATAAAACACATTAATAATCATCATCAGTAATCATCAATGACTCACAATGTTCATCTTATGTCTTCATTTGTGCAGCTGTACAATCTATTAGAGCGGATAAACCCGGACCACAACTTCCCCGTCAGGTAACACCGATGATACGCACGCACGCACACTCACTCACTCACTCACTCACACGCGCACACTCTCACACACACATACACTCACTCACTCACACACGCGCACACACACACACACACACACATACATACATACACACTCTCACACACACATACACTCACTCACTCACTCACACGCACACACACA